TGTGTGTGTGTGTGTCTCCATTTCGTTAGATATAATGGACCAAATATTTATGGAAATATAATAGATCTCAGTAACATGCATAAACAGTGGCATGCCTTATGGTGTTGCTAGGAGCTACTAGTTCTTGCTTAGAGCAGTATGGCTGTACCCTGAGCCTCCAAGACCCCTTCAGTGAGGCCCATTTCTTGGGAAATTTTCTCTAAGCTCATAGATCACTTTATATCCATCATCATGCTGCTTCCATCATCTGAAATGCTACTTCCTCATCTTAAACCTTCACTACCCTCCTTTGAAATGCCATTTATTCCCTTGACTTCTGAAAGGGTACTATAATGTTTTATTTGTTTTTTCTGATTCTTCGGAGGTGGCTTCGTCATCCACTATACCACAGTGCTGCTTGTTCATTCTTTTACTTTATCATCATCTACATTTTAGAGTCTAAACTGCAGGAACTGTGCCTTATTCAGTGGCTGGTTTATAACAAGCAGGAAATTGATTGTTTCAGTAACTGAACAAGTGGATAAGTGAGAGACAAACTTCAGTCCCACCTGCTTTTCCTTTCATTGGAAGAGTTGATTCGGTTTTTATTAAGACCCTGCTTTCTGAGAAATTATGCTTCTATGTATATGCACACTGTCTCCCCCTCTTACTGCATTTGCTGGGTTCTTACATGTCAATCATCATGTGACCGCACTTATTTTTTTGTAACCCATAATGTAGGTATTGTCATCTATATGGCTAAAAAAATAGAATCAATAGAGACTGATGCACCATCCAAGGACCATGCACAGAGAGGACCTAGACTCCCTGCTCAGATGTGGCCAATTGGCAGCTCAGTCTCCATGCGGGTTCCTGAGTAAGGGGAACAGGGGCTGCCTCTGTCATGAACTCAGTGGCCTGATATTTGATCACTTGCCCCTGGCTATGTGGCCTGGGCAGGCCAAGGAGGAAGAGGATCCAGACAATCCTGATGAGACTTGATAAGCTTTGGGAAGATGGCAGAGGAGAAGAACTCCCCCTTTCAGTGGACTAGGGGAAGGGGATGGGGGAAGAGGGAGGGAAGGTGGGACTGGGGACAGTTGAGGGAAGGGGCTTCAATTGGGATATACAATGAATAAATTGTGAAAAAATTATAATTTAAATTTAAAAAAGAAAGAAGAAAGAAAGAAATAGAATCAATTATAACCTAGAACCCCTGCTCAGATGTAGCCAGTGGCAGCTAGTATACAAGTGGGTTCCCTAGTAATGGGAACAGGGACTGTCTCTGACATAACTTAGTGGCTAGGTCTTAGACTGCCTCCCCCTGATGGGGGAGCAGCCTTGCCAGGCCACAGAGGAAAACAATGCGGCCAGTCCTGATGAGACCTGATAAGCTAAGGTCAGATGGAAGGGGAAGAGGACCTTCCCTATCTGTGAACTTCGAGAGAGGCATAGGAGGAGATGAAGGAGGGAGGGTGGGGTTGGGAGGGGCTGAGGGAGGGGGATATAGCTGGGATACAAAGTGAATAAACTGTAATAATATTAAAAAATTAAAAATTAATTTAAAAAAAGAGGAAGTCTTCCTTTGCTTCCTTCTGATCCTAGTCTATCAGGTCTCATCAGGAGCGGCTGCATTGTCTTCCTCTGTGGCCTGGTAAGGCTGCTCTCCCCTTAGGGGAAGTGATCAAAGAGCAGGCCAATCAGTTCATTCAGTTCATGTCAGAGACAGTCCCTGTTCCCATTACAATGGAACCCACTTGGACACTGAACTGTCATGGGCTACGTCTGAGCAGGGGTTCTAGGTCATCTCCATGAATGGTCCCTGGTTGGAGTATCAGTCTCAGAAAAGACCCCTGGGCCCAGATTTTTTGGTTCTGTTGTTCTCCTTGTGGAGCTCCTGTCTTATCCAGGTCTTACTATTTCCCACTTCTTTCAGAGGGTGGGACTGGAAAAGGAGGATGGAGGTGTTCACGGGGGGGGGGGGGGAATACAAAGTGAATAAAGTGTAATTAGTAAAAATTAAAAAAAATTGTCAAAAACAAAACAGAAAAACAAAAAGAATGGTAGGTAACTTGGCCAAGACTGTGATGCTGGGAAGTGACAGATTTGGGGTGGTGTCCAAAGCCCATAGTGTTTCTGCTTCCTCAGCGAGGCCAGATCTGACTGGCCTTCCTGCCTCACTGGCCTTCCTTGCCTATCATTTCCTTAGTACATGTAGGCCCTGACAAACGGGAATCTCATGTCTCTTCTTCTGCTCACTTTGTTTTAAGAGGTAGCATCTTATGAGGTTCCTGGCAAAGGAATTCTTTCTCTATTGGAAACAGGAAGCCATGGCTTTGGGGATTTGCCTAAGATTATATAGCTCTATTTTGCCAGATCCTGGGGTAGGATCTATGGCTTTAACTACAGTGCTAGGCTATTTAGCCAGAAAAAAAATGCCTCAAGAATTCCCTTGTCAACTGTTTGGGAAAGAGTGCAGGGATTTCTGGAATTGCAAGAAATGTAACAGGCACCTCGATTCGTGGTTCTCAACCTGTGGGTAATGACATCCTGGGAGCTGAACAGCCCTTTCACAGAGGTCACCTAAGACCATTGGAAAACACCATATTTACATTATGATTCATTACAGTTATAAAGTAGCCATGAAAATCATGATATGATTGGATGTGACGATGACATGAGGAACTGTATTAAAGGGTCACAGCATTAGGACGGTTGAGAACCAATGACCTAGATAAATGTCCTCATTTTTTTTTTACTTTTTTATTTTTATTTTATTTTTTTATATTAATTACACTTTATTCACTTTGTATCCCCCCATAAGGCCCTCTCTCCTCCCCTCCCGATCCCATCCTCCCACCCCCTTCTTTACGCATGCCCCTCCCCAAGTCCACTGATAGGGGAGGTCCTCCTCTCCTTCCTTCTGATCTTAGTCTATCAGATCTCATCAGGAACGGCTGCATTGTCATCTTCTGTGGCCTGGTAAGGCTGTTCCCCCTCAGGGGGAGGTGATCAAAGAGCAGGCCAATCAGATTATGTCAGAGGCAATCCCTGTTCCCATTACTATGTAACCCACTTGGACACTAAACTGCCATGGGCTACATCTGTGCAGGGGTTCTAGGTTAACTCCATGCCTGGTACTTGGTTGGAGTATGAGTCTCTGGGAAGACCCCTGTGTTCAAATTTCTGGTTCTGTTGCTCTCCTTGTAGAGTTCCTGTCCTCTCCAGATCTTACTATTTCCCACTTCTTACATAAGATTCCATGCACACTGCCCAACAGTTGGCCATAAGTCTCAGCATCTGCTTTGATAGTCTGCAGCACTTCCTCAAGATCCAGCCATACCACTCCTAGGCATATAGCCAAAAGAGGCTCAAGTACACAATAGGGACATTTGTTCAACCATGTTTGTAGCTGCTTTATTTGTAATGGCCAGAAGCTGGAAACAGCCCAAATGCCCCTCAACTGAAGAATGGATGCAGAAATTGTGGTACATCTACACGATGGAATATTACTCAGCAATGAAAAATAAGGAAATCATGAAATTTGCAGGTAAATGGTAGGACCTGGAAAGGATCACCCTGAGTGAGCTGTCCTAGAAGCAGAAAGACACAGATGGTATATACTCACTCATATAGACATGTAATATAGGATAAACCTACTAAAATCTGTACATCTAAAGAAACTAATCAAGAGAGAGGACCTGGACTAAAATGCTCAATCCTTATCCTGAAAGGCAAAGAGGAAGGACATCAGAAGAAAAAGAAAACAGGAAACAAGCTAGAAACCTGCCACAGAGGGCCTCTGAAATGTTCTCATTTTAGACAGTCGGCCTAAAAAAGGCAGATTTCATGTTTAAGACAGTAGAGAAGGTTAGTAGACAGGAGAGAACAATGAGACCAAAGACTCCTTGTCAGACCTGAGACTTGTTTCTCACTCAGGGACTCAGTTCTTGCTGATCAACAGATAATATAAAATGTAAATTATCCATATCCCAACCAAGCTGACAATGTCTTTCCTGTCATAGTCTTGGCTTGCATACAAAGGCTACTTTTTCTTTCTGTAAAAGTTCCTTTTATTCCATTTGGCACAGTCCCCTCTTACTGGACAGCCTTCTGTTCTTTCCCTGACTTGTGTTTTTCAGTCTCCTGGCAGCTCCTCTCAGCCACAGGCCCCCTCCATCCCACATTCCATCCTCCCACCAGCTCTCCGTTGCCAACATGAATGTGGAAACTGAGTCAGACCATCAGCACTGTCTGTCCCCCTTCCCGATGGGCTCCACACGTACTCAAACTAAGGCCAGTTCCTGGTTGTTATCCTGTACCAGTGCTGCGATTGTTCAAATATTAATGACACCCTCTGTGAAAAATAACACCGGAAAGCTTCTCATTATAAATTAAAACTGCAGAGAGGCAGTAGCAATGAAGTAGAGGAGCTCAGCAAAACCACGTTATTAAAGAGCTCTTAAGAGTTAAGACAAAGGAGTGCGTCTTTAGTTCTGTCTTGCCCATCACAAAGCTGAGATCTCACAGTGGGAAATGCAGCCACTCTTGGCTGCAACTCTCTGTTTCACCAGAGAGTTGCTATACAGTGTATAGCAAACTGTATAGCCCCTGGGGTCTTGCCCATCAAGATCCTTTCCCGTACCTACCCGGGAAGAAGCTGAGGGAAGGGTTGGCAGAGTTAAGAGAATAAGCAAGTGGTTCAGATAAAGGGAATATGAGCTTCCTCTGGCTACAGTTTCATGTGATATATTGGGGTAGGGACAACTGGAAGAAGAAGAGGGGAAAGTAGCTAGATCCAAAGCCAAAGAAACACAGGGCCATCCTCTGCCTGATCCTTGGGCATGAAGAGCACTTGTCAATTTGTGTTTTAATTATCTGATTCCTCCAATCACATCACATCATTGCCATCATTATAATTTTTTAAGCCTTCTCACAAATCACAATGAGAAGCTGTGTTTTCAGTATAAGTTAATGAGTAATCAACAGGGGGAGGGTAGAGAACAAACTGACCTTTGATATTTGTGCACAGTGAATATTGATACTTTTATTTTTTTAACTAGTGTGAAGAAGAAGGTACAAATGGCTAGGCATACAGACATCACAGGAGGAAGAAAGATAGTGTCATCTCTATAGAATACACTTCCAGGCTCCATGGTAAAGGGCGGAGGATCTTTCAGGACCAGTCCAGATACGCACAGGCAGCATCCTTTGGCTTGTGGGATGGCCATCTTCTCAAGAACATTGGGAATGTCTCCAGCTGCTGATGACCCAAGGTCCCTTCTCCAGCGACCACGCTTCTCTCCTCAATTTCCCAATCTGAGTCCTTTTTGTTTATCTTTCTCTCATTGTTTCTATCTTAAGACTGATTCTCACAGGTTCTTCTGGCCCTCAAATTAATTTTCATTATTGGGTATGCTGGCATACATCTTTGAATCAAGGAAGATCTTTCACCCTAAAGTCTTTCAGCTCTGTCCTCAAACCTTTCCACCTTCCCCTTTCACCTCCAACTGCCCCCTCTTCTGGAACACATAGATCTTTACTTGGACTTCTGAGTATGTGTGGCTCCCATGAAAGGAGAGAGGGGCCCATGTTCCCTCAAGACAGGGAGTGACCCCAGTTTCAGGTGAGGTCTCTGTGTGTTGTCACTCAGACTTATCTCTAGAGAATCTTTATCTCACTCCCTCAAGCTCTTCCTTTCTCTCTCTCCAAGCTCACTAAACTGAATTTGAAGCTTAAGATATAGTGAGAGCAGCAGGAAGGCCATGGCAGGTGCTCTGGGTAACAGGCCCTAAGCATGAAGGCATTGTATATGTGATATGCAAGGAAGCCATCTGCAGGACCTGGAGATGGTTGTGGTCAAACACGCTGGAAGTGAGAAACACGGCTTAATTGTGGGTTTGTTTATACATGTATTCATGGTGAGGAAGGGCCAGAGCTCCCATCCCAGGGAAGAGAGCAAATGAAAGAACTGCGGATGCTTTAATCAATGTTAGCATGTATGATAAGACACCCTCAGGACACCTGACCCCTTGCCCTTCACCCAGACTTCCGTACTTGGCAGCTCTAAACATTTGCAAATTCGCAGTCATAATCGGTCATCCGGCACATTATGAACTTCCATTGGCGATCCCTGTGGGAGAAGAGCCAGAAAACCAGTATCAGTGAGATCAGAAAGAGTGACTGCTGGGAAAAAGCAGTGAAGGGCTTTGGCAGGGTTTTGGAGCTGAGGGGATTCTTGCCTTGTTCCTTAAAGGGTTTTCAGTAAAGTCTCCTGAGAAGCAATGGATGTGCGAGGTTAGACCGCTCCTTGCTGTTTAGAGGATACATGGAGGCTTATGTTCACAGTCAGTCTTTCACGGCTGAATGTCCAAGGTGCCTCCGGGACTAACACGTCCAACATTTATTAGCATCACCTTCATTTCACTGTGAAGAATCTCCCTTCTAAAAGACCATTCATTTTCCTGCCAATACCGCCTCTCTGCTGGCTACGCTGTGTGTGCCAGATCCAGGAGATGCGCTGTGGGTTTCCCCTTTGAAACCACAGATAAGGTGATTGGGGACAACTGAAGACACCTTAGAGTGTGGAAGAAAATGCCTCGTCTATCAGAAATGGAGTGGCCTATTTAAGCGATGGGATAGATCTGAGAGGGCAAAGAATTGCTCAGTTTGGGAAAACTGTGTGGATATGCGCTGTTTGCTAGACTCAGGATCATGTTCTTTTCTCGACCACCTAATAGGAATGCAGGGAGTTGCCTGCTCTGCCTACCACTCCTGTGCTCTGATGCTATTTAACAACCACAGCGACCTTGACACTGCAAAGCTCCCGGTGCTTCCAGTGCGCCCAGCCCTGCACTGGAAGCCCCTCAGCAATTCCCACTGTGACTCACTGTTTTATGAAGAAACAGACACAGTGGAATAAGACTTGCTTTAAAGGATTGCAAGAGGTAGGTGGTGATGGCAGATTTCAAGCGTGCTCTACTCAGACTTGGTCTTCCTCTTGTGCTATGCTACTTTCCTTGCCAGATGTCCCTGATGCCACCAGAAGACACAGCTGTCATGCTCTTTGCATTAATTCCAGTAAAATGTGGGACTACTTTATCCATATTCAACCAAGCAATATCTTCCAAAGTACTGTTCTTCCTTCTTCTCCCCTTTTACTCTTCCAGGCTTCTTTCACTGTGCCCTGAACACCATGGCTGACGGTGCCTGCTCCCAGCTCCTGCATGGAAAGTATGCTATTCTGAGTAGGTGCGGGGGGGGGGGGATGGCCATGGTGAGCAAATAGCCCAAGGCCAGCTTCCAAATTCTAGCCTGTCTACTCTACTCAGTTTGTCTATGCAGAGTACTCTCCAGCACATGTCTTTGAGGGCCTAGGGGAACGAGCTAGCTGTGCATCAATATTTGTTCATGGAAAATCATCCACAGAGGCTATGGCTTGCTTCAGATGATTAGCAAGCTGGTGCTGTGCGGTTTCCAAGAGAATTTAATTACCACTGCCAAGCAGTGCGTATCTGTGTACAAAGAAGGTAAGAAAGATTTTGTGGCCAAGTATTCGTGTTGTTCATTTAAGAGGCAGTTAGTGGATACTGAGAAAAACTTAGACTTGATCCTAAAAGAATCAAGGGGTCTAACCAGGTTCTGTTTTCCCTCCCAGGCATTAGCTTTTAACTAGGGTCTAAGAGATTCTGTGGTATATTTGGCAATTTGGCATATTCTGCTGACACACTGAAGGGGTAGGCGTAATACCTAAAAATCACAGGACAGACAGGATGAGAAACTATTACAAAACAACATGGGCATGCTGATTTTGGTTTTTGTGTGTATGTGTGTGTGCGGGGGGTATTCATTTTAAAACAATCCAAAGACACTGTATCTCAGTCTTCAGGATTCTATACAATTGATGTAATGGATCATTTCCAAGCCAGCCAGAATTGGGTGTTTTAAGTGTGTGTGTGTGTGTGTGTGTGTGTGTGTGTGTGTGTGTAGCACCATTTTGGGTGATATTCATTCATTCTTTACTGTTTTCATTTTCTGTTACTTTTTTTTTAACCAGAAAACTCAAAACCAATTTCCCATCTAAGCTGGGCATCTTTAGGAACACTGGGTACTGGTGTTATGTTCTGAACTTGACAGACACTTTGCTGCTCAATGACATTAGATTTCCATACTCTTTGAGTTCCTGGGTTTTTTTTTTCTCTTTCTTCTTAAATATATTTGCCATGTGGTACACCATTGTCTCTCCACATTAGGGCGAGTTTATCCAAAGTACTACTGTCTTTCCAAACTGTACCTTTTAGAAAGCGGGTGACTAAGCAAGTTACAAGGACATAATAAAAATTGAGGTGCTCTCCTGGGAAGAAACCAGAATCTTTGTCCATGGAGTCTGGAACATCTGATGTGCTTTTCCAGAACTGATTTTTTTGTCTTTAGAAACTGTGTTCCACATTAAATAAGTTACCTGCAGCTAAGCGAGGTGCAACTTCATTCGGGAGCATCTACACAAGAGATAACCGGCCCTCAGTTTGCTCGTAGTCCGTTCACTAATGAGGTTTTACTTTCAGTTTTATTTGTTTTGCAAAACACGTGTGGATAATCTTTCCAGAATTCATTTTTGTGTGACATCATTATCACTGGATTAAAAGTAAACAAATCAGCTTTTAGCTTCTGAATTTCTCCATACTTTTTCATGTATTAATTGACAGATAACCACAAGGTCTATATGATGATCGTGTCTACGGGAATTTTTGAGCCTGGTTTTCTTAATGATTTCAGTGTATTTGGGAGAGAAGCACAAAGGAACAATGGGAGAAGTTGGGGCAGGTGCAAATTTGTGCTGTTTTTCTTCTGAAGTTACTTGAATCTTCTTTTCATTCAAGAAAGATTCTGAGTTCATCCTGGAATGACTGACTCCCTTCTTGTTTCTAGGTGTGATTGGTTAGATCCTGTGGTCTGCGTGTTAATGTCTGTCACAGAATCTGTGTGCTGGAAACTGAAGTCCTGTGTAATCACAGTACTAAGCAGTACTGAGAGGTAAGTGTTGTGGGAGCTGATTATGTCAAAAAGATCCTTCCCTGGTGAATGGTATCACTGCCTTTGTAACCAGCTCAGTGCAACTATGTAGGTTCACAGTGAGAGGGTCTATCTGAAGCAAAGAACAATCCCCACTGCTGCTCACTTGGTCTTGAATTTCCCAGTCTCGGAGACTGTGACCAATAGATTTTCATAAGTTGTCCGCTCTCAAGCGTTGTATTATAGCATACTGAAAGTACCGAGAGAAAGGATTCTGTGACATCTTCCTTTTGAGTCCCCTCTTCTTCTTTTCTCTCTTCCTACAATTCTAAGAGGGGAACACACAAAGGCACGGGGCTAGAGGAGGTCCAATTTGGAAGCAAATATTCTTTCAACCATCCCAAGCTCTCCTTGTTACATCAAGTGGTTTCTGAGGTTGAGCACAGGAACTGCTTAGAACATCAAGGAATGCCCATGCCAAGTTCAGGACTCTGCTATGGCTTAAGTTGGTTGTCTGTCCTTCTTGGCAAGGTCACCCTGCCTTGTGAGGCAAGCTCCCAAGAACTCTATCTTCTCATTGGCTCCTGCTGCCTAACCAGACCCACAGCTGATCCTTGACTAAGCTGGAAACTAGATTTTGGAGGTTACCAGGTAAAAGTACCCACAGTCAGGGTCTCAGCAAAGAGTGAACCCACACAGCATCCAACCCTTGGGCCCCTGGAAAGAGGTGACCTTTCCTTCTCACCTTTCCACTGCAGAGAAAGTGGTTGTTGCTCCTCGGATGTAGTAATCATAGTTATAGGAAATCATGTCCATATCTTCCCCGTAGTGGCCTGGGTACTCTGTTGTCAGCCTACGAGGAGAGAACAAGGGGTCGGAGCAGACAGGAGGTTAATGTGGAGGAGAGGGCAATCTTGGGAAAGCTGAACTGGATTAGAAGGCTTCTTCCAAGCCAAAATAATAGATATCTTCTTCCATTTCTCATCTTCCTTTTCCCAGCCATTGAACTGTACACTGAGCACAGGCGGCTACAGCAACTGTAACTGTAACATACGGAGAAGACTCCCCCTCCCATCTCCGAAGATACACTGAATTATTTCCATTCTATTCAAGTCAGCCAGGACACTGTTTCAAATTGGATCATGACTCATCATAAGGTCATAAAAAATCAATTGAACTGATTATGACCAGCTCTCTAATGGTTTAAATTGATTGTCAACTTGAAAGGATCTAGAGTCATCTTGGAGACAAATCGCTGGACTTGTCTATAAGGGAATTTTCTAGATTGGACCAACTGAGGCAGGAAGAGCCACCATGAATGTAGATGGTGCAATCCCATGGCTTGGGATCTTGCACTAAATTCAACAGTGGAAGCAAGCAAAGCATCCATAGCTATCGCTCTTCACCTTCTGAGTGGGGACAGTCTGGAGCTGCCTCCCTCTCCACATGCCATGACTTCCATGCCACGATGGACCCTAAAACTGTGAGCAAAAAGTAAACCTTTTCTTCCTTAAGTGGCTGCTGTCACATAGTTTGTCATAGCAATGAGAAAAAAAAATAGCAAATACAGCAGCTTGGAAAAGAACACAACAGAACAGAAAGCGTCAGGCCAAGTGGGGCTTTGCTTGCAATAAAGTTTGTGCATGAAAACTTTATTCCGATGTGTGTATGCATTTACGATGTACACATATTGTGTGATAGTTTAATACACATTTCTTATCATGACTGGTAAACGTGTTTGAAATAGCTAGTTAAAATGTGAAGTCCACAAAGGTACAGTTCTATCTGTCCACTATTGTTCCTCTGGCAGCTGCTAACTGGCATATATTGCCTGAATAAATAAATGGCTTTGGGAGGCTAATTTAATTGGTTTCCTGATCTATTACAAATGAAAGCTGTCACGTACATTTTCACTGCAACTAGGGAAAGTATGTACATGTGATGTGATTATACAAGGCAGGTGTGGACTCATTAACCAATGTTCTCCTCCGCCACCGAATCATCACCTCCACGCCCTTTTCTTATTCTTCCTTCTTTATTCTCAAAGATCGAGTCGATTATGGGACAAATTTAGAACCCCCTGGTTATCATAAAGATTTGCCACTGGTATTCTTCAGTTCCAAAATAGGTCCTTTCGGGATAAAAAAGACTCCAATGCAGGACTCAAGACAGGTCTCGTGTAGCCTAAGCTGGCCTTGAACTCACTATGTAGCTAGGATAACTTTTTAACTCCCAACTTACACCTTCACCTCTCAAGGGCCAAGATTACACACTTGCACTTCTGAATTCCATCTGTATCCCCAAGGCTGCTCAGGAAATAGTTAGGTCGAGAGTGCATTGATTCCATTTGATTTGGGTGTACCAGGACATTGTGTAATGAAGGTAGGAGGATCTTCCTTTCTGCAGTCTAAGGCTTTTCTCTTAAGAGTGTAAGAATTTTCACAACATCCTGATTTATGAATTAGAAGGGCTGGTGGGAGAGTCTGCAAGGAGTGCCTAGGCACAGCAGGACCAAGGTTAGCCCAAGATGGGTGGGACTTAGTCAGAAATCTAAATCGTCTGTTTGGGCTTTTCCTAGTCATTCCTTTGTCTGTATTGCTCTCTCTCTTTCTCTCTTTCAGTTTATTTACTTTACATCCCAAGGGTGCCCCCTCCCTCCTTTTTTCTCAGTCCCCCTTTCCCTTTCCCCTCTTCCCCCAAGAAAAGGGGAGTCCTCTCTCCCCTGTATCAACCCTCCCCAGCACATCAAGTCACATTAGGTGCTCATTCTCTTTTATGATCTGTCTCTTTTGAGGAAGGTAATAGACCCTTTTAGACACCAGGCCTGATCCAGCATGGTTGCCTGCATTTTTACTTGGGTATTTTCATGAAGGGAACATTTAAAATCACTTTTGTGCTTGTAAAAAGACCCTGAAACAGTACTTTCTTTGTCTAACAAAAAAGTCCAGCTTCATGCTTCAAAAAGGACCTAATTGGGCCTCACTTGGATCCCACTGGCTTGAGACCTGAGGATTCAGTGACAGCTAACTGTATGACAGTTTACCCCAACAAAGGAGGACTGTTAATAACATGCATAATGTAAGTAGGATTTTGAAAGTGTTTTCCTCATAAAACATATTCTAGAACTTTAAAACGAGGCATTTAGACATAATATATAATACTTAGTTATTGACATGTTTGTTTCTGCTCTAGCTCTCTGGCACTATTGCCTTCAGCTATGCCTAGTTGCCCAAACTGGTTGGGCAACTGTTTCCATTAATCCTTTGCTCTGTCCTCAGACCACTTGGAGAGAAAGAGAGAGAGAGAGAGAGAGAGAGAGAGAGAGAGAGAGAGAAAGAGAGATAAACTGGGAAAGAAAACGTTGCACTTACAGTAAGTCTTAGGTTCCAGATGAGCAGACAATTCTCTAATGCTTTCTCTGCTAAGGGGCCTTCTGATAAGGGCACAGGCTTTTTTAGAACTCTCTCTCTATGGTAGCAAAGTCAGCTGTCTGGTAAGTTTCTAGAATTTTCCAGAGACAGTGAGATGTCTGCCGTTGGTATATTTCCATCTTGATCCAGATTAGTTTCAGCTTTGATTCTTTTATTGTGTTTTGGTTGGTTTTTATGAGGAAGCCAGGGGACCATGTTTAGACTTTTGTCCAGAACCTTAGATTAAGGGGAATGGTGAAGGAGGCTGGAAACTAAAAATATGGAAACAGAAATGAACTCAGTCATTGGTGGAAGGTGAACCCTCCAAACAGTACCCGCAGCAAGAACTTCTGTTTCAAACCAGCCTAGGATTCCATATTTTTAGTCCAATAAATATATGTCCATTTATTTGTTTATGCTATCTCTCTCTCTCTCTCTCTCTCACACATACACACACACACACACACATACACACAATGTCTTAATGAACAAAAGCTCTGGCAATAGTTGTTCAGGGACATAAAAGGATTTAAATTTACAGAGTTAGAACTGAGACAACATTTATATACTTTTCAACCAATCAAAAGAGGCCAAAGGAAATTGGATGATAATGTTTGTTGGACGTGGTGTTGGCTTTCTTGAGGATAAAGGGGGGGATTCAGTGCGGTGTTAGCTTTCTTGTGAATTGCTATGCAGCCTCAGACAGCTTTTTGGCAATGTCCCTCATTACAGATCATTGGCACACATTTCTAGCCCAGTTAAAATAATCAAGCAAGTCCCTGGCTTAGCAAGGCGAAGGGAAGCCCAATATAGTAAAGAAACACACCATTTTAAAGCACTTCTGAGAGATACAGGGGCATATTTGCTTGCTTTCCATTTCCGCAAGCATGTGTGTTTGCTTATTTTCCCTACCACTCTCAGTAAGTATCTTTGGGGGTACAGTTTCTCACTTCTTGTCCCAGAGCTTCGAGAACTGTGTGAGTTAAGATTTGTACAACTTCTTGGGTCAGAGAGGAATGACTAAGATGGAAAGAAATTAAATGGTATCTTAATTATGAACGGGCAGAAATCAGTCTGAATTGAAGGAAGATTGACATAGATCTGCCTCACCTGTGTTACTGGAATCTTGGGAATTGTCAACAGGTACAACTGGACTCAATGAACGTTTGTTGACTGCATCATAGGATGACTGGTATAGAGATCTCTTCGAAGCATCACTGGCACATGGCACAATGCACATCTTTTATGAGTTAGTGTTCATGGGGCATAGAGGAGATAACTCAAAACTGTCAGGATTGGCGTATTATGTTTAAATCAAGGAAGACAATAGAGTTCTGACAGGTAAGTCACTGGGAACCTTCTCAAATATTCCAATCTGTTCGTGCTCAAGCTGCATGTGTAATTCTTGCCCTGACACACAGTGAGGAATGAGGACACTTTAGGGGAGAAGACTTTGTTAGTCCTCCAACATTCTTAATGCATGCGATAACCAGAGCTTGTTTGAACTACTTTTTTGCAAAGACAGAATGAAAAAACTCAAATGGACTCAAATGTAAAATAAATAAGCGAACAAACAAACAAAGATGTGGCAAAGAAGCAGGTATTTTGACTCCTCCTCAGAGAGCTGAGCATTGGCCAAATGGGACCACATGCTGGTCGTGTCCTCTGCAGTCACATAAGTGCCCTTCTCTGTTTAGACAGATTGAATTCTGGAAACCTGGGTTGGGAAAAGGAGCATAAGATGTAAGTGTCTATCCTCTGTGGCATTTAGGGGTTTCTATTTCAAACGGTTCAGATATGTATCACCACCCAGGGGAAGCATAGCTCCTGGGATGTCTGTGACTTAAATTTAGAAGAGGAAAGTCCCTGAACTTTTTTCAAATTGCTGTTTTGGAAGGCAGCCTCCAGCTCCTGCTTCAGGCCCAGGGCTGGTCGGCTGCGGTCACATTTATTTTGATGGCTGTTGACAGTCATCAGCGACATTATCTCCTGGCTATCCTAACCTGCACAACAGCAAGGACAGCTTCACCTACAACTTCTCCCTCCCTCTAAAGAGAGCAAACAGCCCCCCCCTTCACTTTGCCGTTAGATGTCTATTGTGTCTCTGCCTAGTGCTTCATCTGTAGTGCTCTTCTTTCCTTCCTGTGCTGAGAGGTAAGCAGCAGAGCACTATGCAAACAACATGGGGTCTGGAGGTAGCTGGACCTGTCTGAATCAACTCAGTCCTTTGAAGAATATTGTGACTTCCGCACCTCAGGTTCTCCATGAGCATAGGGAAGATATCACTAAATGAAGCGACAGGATTGCCGCTGTTAGGAACTTATCCTAAATCTGTGGCCTGTACTTGCTTTATATCCTTCCCTACTTAGCAACTTGTTGGTTAAATGAAGGAAAAAAATGATTGGCGGCTTCTGGAGCCCTGTAGATGGAAGGGGACTTGATCTGTAATTGAGAGGGGTTTGCTTTGTTCTCAGTAGCTCACAGCGTGGGCGAGCTGCTACTTAGGCGATCAGACACATCTCTGAAATGTCTGGCTTTGAAGTCTGAACACAAGGGAGGGATCAAACAGACATCAACATGATAAATAGGGGTCAGTAACTGCGACAGCCACTCCAGATGATGAAAGGGACAATTGATTTTGCTCAAGCTCAGAGGAACTGTGGCCAGAAAGAGCACACTCGGTGCAAGGCAGTGGTTGTTAGCCAAGCATGGGGACATCCAAACCCGGTGTGCACTCTTTGAAATGGCAGCATCCAGATTAGTTTTCTCAAGGCATGGGGGGTGGGGGTGGGAGAGGGGGGAACCGCCATCTCTCCAGTAATAGCTCCTGGCTTGCTCAGGGCAATCAGTGTGAAAATGTCCTCTTTTCATCAGGCCTCTGGGAAATGTGCTACAGGAGAGCATCCAACCAGGGTGGGGTAACAGATTCCCCGATGGAAGGCCTATGAGCTCATTCCCCAGGCACAGCATCAGAGGAATGGTCTTGCCAACAAACGTCATTTTGTGTTAAAATTTGGACAACAGGCCACGAGCTAAAGATTTCCTTTGACTGGATCATTCACGGTGGAAGAGAGGAGACAAATGTCTCCCTTAACTGACTTTTGTTGTTGTGAACTGTAAATGTCCAGGAATTAAGCAAAGTTACTCTCTGCCTTATAAACTGGACACAGAAAGAGGAGGTACTATATTGGACTTCCCTTCGGTGGTGGAGAATGCTGAGGAAAGTTGGGTTGAAAGGCAAGGCA